CGTGTTTTATTAGGTCTAAAGCCACTCGCGCTGCGCGCTCGTGGCTTTAAACCTAATAAAACACTCCTGCTCGTTTTTTAAATAGTACATAAAAAACTGGATACTAATAGCTGTTTTGCGAATTTAACAGCAACTTCAAATCTGTGCAGTTTTTTTTTATACACCCTGTATAACAGTATAATTTTCAACAGGTACTAAATTTATAAGGCTCAGGTATCTTTCGATATGACAATGCAACCCTTCTTCTAGCCATGTTAATATTTATAAAATGCCTAAAGGCAGAGCCTCTCAGAGGGGGGGGGGGGGCAAAGGTGGCAATTTCCCCCAGGCCCAGTAAAGGGGCACCAAAATTTGCAAAAGAGGGGCCCACAAAAGATGTAATAAAAAAAATTATTTGGAACGTTTTTTTATATAAATAATGGTATGAGAAAAAATTTTTAAACCTTAATTTTACTGGTATTGGTCCGAAAAAATGTGTTTTACCCGTGTTTCTACAGGTATTTGTCCGGAAAAATTTTAGAACCTTTCTTTGGAAATGTCCGGAAAAAATGTTTTATGTCAATACACTCCGACATCTTTCCGTTTAGAGTTGATAACCATGTACTACATTGGCCCACTTAGTGAAACCCCCAATAATCAAGACTGCAAGCCAACTGCGAGTGCTGTATTTCGTATCTGATAAGCACCACCAACCAGCCAAAATGGCCGAGAGAAGCAAGCATTTCCACGAGTTCGGCTACCCAGACGAACGATTCGAATCTGTTTTAAGCGACAACCTACACTGTGCCATTTGTTCGCGCGTGTTAAAGGATCCAGTTATGTGCAAAAACGAGCATTGTTTTTGTCGAGGTTGTATCACCAAGCATCTTCAAAATTACCACACTTGCCCTTCTTGTAATCAAGATCTAACCGTGGAATCGCTAGCAGACGCACCGCGTATTGTGAGAAATTTATTATCGGAAAAAAGAATTCGATGTGATCATCAGATATGGAAAGAAAGGAAAGATACTCAATTCTGCAGAAATTTTCGATAAAACCTCTCATTCTTGGGTACAATTGCAACCAATGAAAACATGTCGTGCCAATGCAAGTTCGCTTGTTTACAATAGCCAAGTTCTTGTCACAGGTGGTAACTCAGGTGACTCGGACCTGAGTAGCATTGAACAGTTTAGTCGCAATGCCAATCCGTTTGTTCCACCTTGCTGGTCCAATCTCGAAGTCAATTTGCCCAGGCCGTTAAGAGGACATTACAGTATACTGTACAATGACCGACTAATTGTCCTCGGCAGCAACGGCGATGATAAAGATCATTCGTACTTGGTTTACGAAATCCAACTACATTTTCCTTTCACTACAAAGATCTTGGCTAATTTGCCTTCTTCAACACCCATCAACGGTTGTGGTGTTGTCCTGGTGAATGAAAAAATTTTGATTTTTGGAGGTTGTGCCAGAGAAATACCTGATCCAGCTACATCTACTAACATAATCTGTCCAGGTACTGCCAATGTTACCATGTATGACATAACGAAGAACGAGTTTAAGAAACTTGCACCATTGCCCTACGAGGTGTGCAACATGGCAACTGTCAAATTTGGAGAACATGTGGTTCTTGCAGGGGGTTCAAATAATTTTTTCCTTGGAAACATAAAGAACACAGTTGTCAATTATGATATCGAAACACAAAAGAGCACCATGTTACCACCAATGAAGCAGAAGCGATCAGAATGTTGTGCAGTTCTTGAGGGAAACTCCTTAGTGGTGATGGGAGGAGAAAGTCAGAAGAATGGACTAAAAGGAGCTCCTCTAACGTCAGTGGAAGAATTTGACATTAGATCTTCTAAATGGGGAAATCTTCCTTCAATGAAAGAAGCAAGGAAGGCGTTTATTGCGGAGATTGTTTAAAGAGGACGACTGTTGTCTCCTCAGTTAGCGCTTATAAAGATCTTCTCAAAATCCGAGCATACTTGGCATTCTGAGTACATGACTAATAATGCATAATTGACTAATAATAGTAGTAATTTTCTGTCAGTAGTTTTTATGATCTTTCAAATATTCAGACAATATAATTATACGTCACATTATATGTCAAGATCATAGTATGCGTACATGACATAGAAATAACAGTTATTATTATTCTATGATACATTATTTCTATGGTATCTATTATTTCTATGGTAAATGAGTACAATATTTGCTAAAAAGGTATTCCAGACTCCGAATAACAAACGATTCACAGTATTACTTCGGAGTCTACTGTATTTCAACCTTTGTCTAGTGACATTATGAGCATTGACCAGCAGTAACCACAATTTCCGTTCACTTACTGAACTATTGATAGCAGCCACATACATTCTCGATAAAGCAACAACGCACAACCCGTTCAAAATTAGAACTCCCTCACAAATTTAGTTCCATTCCTCATCTCTGCAAAGCGACTCTTTATCTGTTCACGGTTACATAAAACGCTTTTTTTGTTTCTTATGTTTAAATTGATAAACTGGTATATACCGGCAGTTTTGAAATAAGTTGGGTTCAAATATGACTCAGTTCCACTACCGTTACCTCTCCTGGCTTAATACGCATTTGATTGGTTAATCGAGTGAATGAAATACATCTGATTGGACAAATCTGATCCTCTCTATCGTACACACACGATTTTTGGAGGTGCAGCTAGGGAGTGCGCATCCTCCCAAAAATATTTTGCACCCCACAGAAAGATTTCCCACCACACCTAGACAAATTTGCACCCCACCAGAAATTTAAATGCTCGTTGGATTAATTGACAATAGTATGATTGAAACAAGGATTTTGAATTAAATAATAAAGAATAAGACTAAAAATCTAGAAATTTCCTGGGGGCTTCCTCCCTTACCCAACCCCTGTCCCAGCTTGATTGGCGGCGCTACGCGCGCCCCGCTCACCTCCCCCACTGAATTTTCGGCACTTCGCCAAATCATGTGACAGTGGCTCTCTCCTCCGCAGAGGCTTTAGTTGGCTATATGCTTTAATATGATTTAATATGATTTAATACGATTAGTATTGATTAGCATATGATTTAATACGATTAGTATTGAGATAGATTTCACTACACTTTACATGGCGGATCTTGGAACACGAGCTGAGCCGCTGGAGCCTCTGCGGAGGAGAGAGTGACAGTAGCTAGCTTGGTTGGCCAGTAGGTTTGTAGTATCCCGCCTACGCACAATTGTATGCATGAATAAGTATCACTAATTATACATAATGTATGTTAGTTCTTGAATTTTTAATGAAGTATTACAGCACTGCCACGTAGACGGCATACAAACATTGCACTTTGCAAATGCGAATCGCGGAAGTGAGAACGTTTATCTGTGCACAACATATGAAAGACGATTAATTCGTTTGTTCAAGTACATATCTTAAAAATACCGTGATTTAGTGAAGTACAAGAAGACATACGGCTTTCGGGGGATGTAAGAGGGGCAAATTTCCACGGATTTTTATGTTGGATGTTTCGAGAACGATTGCTCAACAACGACTTCATCAGTTGACTTCAAATGTCTACATAGGTAGGTCTCAGTTACCTTTAAATTGCGCTACTACTATCAATTTCAAATGTATTTATACTACATAGCACTACAGGACAAGCACATTATCTTAGTCAAATTTTTAATATTTATCTTAATGGATAATGATCATTCATATAGATTGCCTCCAAACAAATACTGTATTTGCTGTGTGCGGAAATCTCGGTGGGGCGATCGCCCCCCACCTTTACCGAAAATTGCCGAATTTTCGGAAATTTTGATTGCAAATGGGAGGGGTTTGTCGGAAATTTGAAGCTTTTTGTCGGAAATTTAGGAGGCTTTGCCCCCAGTGGAAAAAGTGAATTTCTGCCACTGTTTAGCCCGGGAAGGGGGGGGGGGGGG